CCACAATAGGGAATCCAAGTTTAACATTGAAATATGTAGTAAAAATCTTTAAAAATCTTCTTCTCAAGAACCACTGAGCCAGAAAAGCTGAAACGTATGTGGAAGCATCCTGGAGTAGTGTAGATTCTGAATTGTTCAAATCATGACCACTGGGGGAAGGGTGGGGCCACAATAAGTACTACAATGGGGGGGGGGGGATCAGGTGAAAAACAGCAAGGCCAAAGTTAATCAGGTGAGCGTTGTGGCCCATGGGCCTCTTTTTTTTGTTGCTGTGTTGTGTAATTTATTCAAGGAAACTATAGATATAAAGGCACAGTAATAATAAGCCTCAGGCATTCTATCATTGCTGAAAATGGTCTTATTGTAAACTTAGAATAAGAGATTGTATACTTACAATAAAAAATGTAAGACAGCAGTACCATTAACCCTCTAGGAATAAGTATCTTGCTTGCTTTAGAAAATCTAGTATATACCTTATCTTTATCTGGCACAGATTAATGAACACCTCTGTTTGCAAGTAATGCTTGTTCTGAAGTTAAGGTAAAGCATGAGTGATTTTGCATTCACCAAAGGCTGGTATTTTATGAAATGCATGCTTCAATGTAAAAGGTAAAGATAATGAACAGTGTTCAATTTAAAAAAAATCCACAAATACAAATATGTGAAGAGGGCATAAAACATGGATCCCTGGAAATTCCAGAGGTGGGATCAGGTGCCCAGGAGGAGTAAGCATAACCTGTTGACTGGTCACACCCACCATGAACCCTATGTATTGATCAGGTAGACGGAACTATCAAATCAGTATAAAAACAAAGGCCTAAAATTTGGCATGAAACAAGTCCGCCAAAATGCAACCCAATGATAGGCTATATTTGCTAACAAGGTCATTATAACGACTATAAAATTTTTGAAATGCTGACTTTTAATGATCCCTATAACATCAACTTATAGGTGAGTAGCCTGCCTTATTTTAAAAATTGATCATACTCAGAGCAAGCTCTTGAGTAGCGAATAAGTTGGGAGACAAACACCATAAGCAGGTGATAGTGGAATATTACTACATAAATAAGGAAAGTTGACGATAGAAAAGCTAAAGTCACCTCATTTGTCATACAATTTAGTTGTTAATTGGCCTTTATCATTTATAATCGGTAAAATACCTAAATATGAAACAGATGTGGCAGACTCTGTGGTGTCTTTTATTTCAAGTTCTCTGGGATAAATCAAGTCAACATAGGAAAGAAAATCATTATTGTTAATTGATAAAACATCATCAATATATTGAAGGCCACAGATAGTGTTTTCCTCTTCTCGCGTAGAAGTTTTTGAGTAAATTTTGCCTCATAGGAATATAAAAACACCCCCCATCTCCACCTCCCATGCTATTGTACTCAAAGCTATTGAAAATAAGTGAGAGTGGGTATCTTAAATCTTGTAAATGGTTTTGAAGATTTAGACATTATGAAAACACATAACAAAGAGCAAGGGCCACTTAGGGCCTTTTTTGGCCCTGTGAATTTCTGAAAAATTGAAACTGCTCAGTTTTGGTTGAAAATGCAGTATTTATCTCTTAGACCCTTGGTGACCGTGTATCTATTGAACATGATGTAATTTTCTCTCTGGGCAATGCATTATGACATCATGAATGCGTCATTTTTACCCTACTTTGTAAATTCCTTTAAAATGGCCAAAAGTTGAAGTATTTTTTTTCAATTATTATATAGAGCACAACCTCTGATCCAAAATATGCAATTACATAATGAAAGATCTGTTTCTGAAGCTCATATAACATGTTTTAATTTTTGGATCGAGGGCTGTGCTTCTATATTAATTATTTGCTGAAGGAAGTCAAATACACCCATTTTCTGCAAAAATCAAGAACATTGCACATTCACCAAGCCTGCTTTTCAATACCTGGATTCTCAAAAAGAAATTTTGCTACGGGAAATGACTGAGCACAAGTCTCTACTTTATTTTGATATATGACATGGGACAGAGGGTGAAAGTCAATTTATTAATAAAAGGACAGGGCCATTTTAAGCATAAAGTGAACCTAGCTCTTTTGTAAATTATCACTTCTTCAAAGACTTCTTCAAAGACTAAGGGCCCTGTCACACCAAGCTGCGTCCACATGGAGTTATTACGGCATTGTTAAATTTTTGAAATCGCATTGGAATCACAGGGAAATTGCACAAATTTCTATAAAATTTTCACAATAGGAAGATGTCATGGCATACCTACAGTGACCCACGTGTTTCTAAAGCATTCTCGCGGTGTGCTGCTGCATTCCCACGGAGATCTCTTAGTGATTGACTGCACTTCGGTGGAGCTTTTACGGCGTGTTAGGAGTTGTCACCTCACATTCACGGAATTCTCACTGTGCTTGCTGCATTCACAATATGTTCTTCACTATTGATATATATTCAGAAGGAGTGTAACACATTTTTGTTTTTAATTCAAGTCGCGTCATGACGAAAAGACCCACTTATGCCAGGAACTATCCTTTTAATTAAAAATGATCTATTTGAATAATTGAGCACTAAATTATTGATAGTTTTATTATTAAAACCTTTCTTTTTAGTTCACCTTAGCTGAAAGCTCAAGTGAGCTTTTCTGATCACATTTTGTCCATAGTCCGTCTGTTTGTCTGTCTTTCTGTCCATCTGTAAACTTTTCACATTTTTGACTTCTTCTCCAGAACCACTGGGCCAATTTCAACCAAACTTGCAACAAAGCATCCTTTGGTGAAGGGAGTTTAAGTTTGTTCAAATGAAGGGCCACACCCTCTTCCAAGGGGAGATAATTAAGAATTGGTGAAAATTTGGTGTCATCTTTTAAAAATCGTCTTCTCAAGAACCATTGGGCCAAAAAAGTTGAAACTTAGGTAAAACCTTTATTACATAGTGTAAATTTAAATTTGTTCAAATCATGACCCCCGGGGGTAGGGTGGGGCCACAATGAGGGATCAAAGTTTTACATAGGAATATATAAGAAAATTCTTTAAAAATCTTCTACTCAAGAGCAACAAAGCCACAATTAGTCATATTGGTATGGAATCATCCTCAGGCAGTGCAGATTCAATTTTGTTCAAATTATGACCCCCCCGGGGGTAGGGTGGGGCCACAACGGGGGATCCAAATTTTACATTGGAATATATAGGAAAATTCTTTTAAAATCTTTTTCTCAAGAACAACAGAGCCACAATAATTCATATTGATGTGGAATCATCCCCAGGTAGTGTAGATTCAAATTTGTTCAAATTATGACCCTCAGGGTCCTCAATGAGGATCCAAGTTTTACATAGGAATATATAGGAAAAATCTTTAAAAATCTTTTCAAGAACAGGAAAGCCATGATTAGTCATATTGATACTGAAGCATCCCCAAGTATTGTAGATTCAAATTTGTTCAAGGCATCCCCCAGTAGTAGGGTGGGGCCATAATGGGGGATCAAAGTTTAACAAAAGAATATATATAGGAAATATTTTTGAAAATCTTCTTCTCAAGAACAACAAAGCCATGATTAGTCATATTGATTTGGAAGCATCCTCAGGTATTGTAGATTCAAGTTTATTCAAATCATGACCCCACCCCCAGGGTAGGGTGGCATACATCTTTAAAATTCCATTTTCGAGAACAGCAAAACCATGATTAGTTATATGAATATAGAAGCATCCTCAGAAAGTTTAGATTCAATTTCATTCAAAACATGGCACCTGGGGGTAGGGTATGCCTAGAACAGGCGATCAAAGCTTTACATATGAATATATAGGAGAAGAAACCTGCTGACGAAGAACAGCAGGGCCATATTGACTCAGGTGAGCGTTGTGGCCCATTGGCCTCTTGTTTCAATTATATCAATTCAAATGTGCTTTTATCTTTTCTTTGATTTTATTACAGATGAAAAAAATAAACACACTGAAAAGTTGTTATAAAATTTAAGTAATTCCACCACAACTCCATTGAAACAACAGAGTTCCGGTGTAATTTTTACTTTCCAATTCTACTCATATGCTCCTGTCAGGAGTGCAACAATATATTATGTTAGAATTATTACTGATCAAATATGAGGCCATTGCTCGTTTTGTGAGCTGGCTCTAACGCTCTAACAACGCCGTGAAAGCGCATTGTGATCGCCAACGGATGCGGTAGAAACGCCAAGGGAGCGCATTGATCACAGTGACAACTCCTTGTTGCTTTGTAATCACAGTCAAAAAAATCACAAGACAATCTCATTAGAAGTGCCGTAAAAGAACGATAGAAATGCAGTGACATCTCCAAGGACTCCGCGAGGTCTCTGTGTAAGCATAGTCTTCTTTCACTGCGATCATGCATGTTTTCACGGCGTGCATATGGAGCTACCGCCTGCATTGTTGGAGATCTGACCGAGCTGCTACGGCGATCATACTAGGTTTCTACTGTGTTCTTATAAGACCGTGATCACACGGCGCATACTTTGTGCATGCCCAAAGTGTGTGCTGTCTCCTAGCATTCTAGGATACCCTACGTGACCCTTCCGCATTCAGTGGAGATCTCGCTGCGTTGTCACGGCGCTGTAGGAGACTCTACTGTGCTCACCTGGGCATTTTGCATTTTTAATGGATGCTGTGCAATCGCCGTGAGGACACAGTCCCCGTGTGACGGGTTTAACACATATGATGACAAAGGTTTTACAGCATATGCATGTGTGGTGGTTGCCGGTGGCCAGATAGCTTAGGTGTTAAAGCAACTGACTGGAGATTCAGAGGGTCTGAGTTAGAATCCCTGTCTGATCTGTCACATTTTTCTCCTCTCCTGTTACATTTGGTGCCATGCCATATCCTGGAAGTGAGAGGTGAAAGACTTGCTAAGAAGAGCCTGTGTTGGTGTCTTCAGGGGTGAAAAACTTTGAGGTGGTAGAGCACCTGACTGGAGGTTCAGGAGACCCGGTGTAAATAAATGTCACATGTATATGGAATTTTCTGTGTTACAGCTAACCAATTGGTCATTTTTATTTTTCAGCTGTTGAAGAATGTGCCTGTTGTCTCACAGCTTCTCCAGGCCAATGCTTTAACCAGTCTTTCTGTCAAGAGTGCAGTAAGGGGTATTACCAGAACAATTCAGCCCAAACCAATTGTTTTCCCTGTCAGAAAGGATTTTATACCAAGTACGTTGGTATAAAATAACTTTAAAATAATTTTTTTTTTTAAATAACTTAAAAAAATTAATACATCTTAATTCATTTACATTCATTTTATGGATGAGTATGTAATATATCACACAGGTAAAATGTATTCTCCAAAGAATGCTTGAAGTATGTTATATTGGTCCTACTAAACAGAGAACCCTAGAGAACCATAGAGAACTCAAGGTTTATTTGATCAATTCAAATAAATTTTATGCATAATTGAATTTATTTTTACTTTATAAATCATGTTCTATCTATAAAATCAATTAAAAGATTTTTTATTGATGTTTTCTCTCGAAAAAAGTTGAAAACGTAACAAAATAGTTTAATGTAATATTTTATGTCACCCCAATCCCGACTGAATTTCAAAAATGTTGTTTATTGAAATAATAATTTTACCGCATAATTTTACAATTCTTTTTCACGTTTTTTAGGTCACTTGAGTCACTCAGGTGACCTATTGCTATCCGTTTTTGTCCGTCATCGTGCATCTTCTGTTGTCCAATAGACATCTTGTTAATAGTCTGCATGGTATTAGTGATAAATGGGGGACAGATAGATACTAGACCAATTATTTTGTTGATGCTAATCATACTAGTCAATTTTACTTGCTTTTGGGCAACAAAACTTCAATTATCAGTTTATGGATCCTCTAAATTGTATTGTACTCTGGTGACCTTTAAGGCCCTTGGACCTCTTGTTTAATTAATAAAAAAATCAATTTTAAGAAACTTATCCGGTAAAAAAAATCATTTCAATTGTCATTCTGTTTCTAATGGGTTTTAATTAGTGCATTTTTCCACTACAGTATTGATTGATATTCTTATTATTTGAATTTTTATTTTTAAAAAATTGCTCCATAGACTTCAATGCAATCTTTGTTAAGTACTTACTGCTTAGTTAATTACAAATTTGAAACTTTCTCTAAGTAAATCCTTTTTTTACTGTAAAATGCTTTAAATTAATATCAGAGTATTATATATGTAAGTGATGGACATTTAATGATAGAGGATGGAAAACCTTAAGGGTAAAAGCAAAATAAAAGTATGAAAAGTATAAACACCAGTGGCAAGTATCGTAGGGAATTGATGTTAAGCTCTGGGTGTAGTAAATCTGAAAAAGATTGAGACAACTGGTTCTTATCTATCAATGGGAACCTAGGGGAGAAACAGGATGCAAGTAGTACCTTACCCAGTCCCCATCTCTAGATATGAGAAGATTTAGCACTGTGTGACATACCCTCAGACAGAGCTGCCTTAAAAATCATTTACAGTTTCATTTTCATTCTCCGACAGAGTAAAAGGAAAACCTTAGTATCCTTTGTAAGAACCTGATCATACACATTACATAGGAAATATCTTTGAAATCAACAACTAAGCCATTATTAGTCATATTTATGCAGAAGCAACCTTAGGTATTGTAGAATCAAGTTTCAGTTGTTCAAATTATTGCCCCCCAGGGGTTAGGGGCATAACAGAGGGTCAACAGAGAACAAGGTGTGGTTTCAATACAAATTTAAAGTTTCAGAAGATATCAATTTTCAGTGGAATTTTCTTTCAGAAAACATACAGCACATGCATCACCCACAAAGATTTTAAGATATGTGATTTTTCAAAGCATTTTACGTAATATATCTAAAAATTGAAGTGGGCGAGGGCTGCGAACACTATTTTCTGAAGGAAAATAAGCACAGAAAATGAGTCATTTTGAGGCTTTTCTGCATACAACTAAGAAATTTATAAAATTAATGACGTCATATTTCCAGAATGGTACTCCTTCATGCCATATTCTTTAATGATTTATCATATTCATCTACTCAACTCATGTTATAGCCAATTTAATAACTTTTTAAGAACATTAAATTTTTAGGGCACAATGAAGCCCAAACCGTACCTTCTTCTTTATGCTGGGCAGGGTGGGGCCATGATGAGCAATCAGAGTTTAACTTAGGAAAACATAGGAAAAAAATCTTTAAAATTCTTCTGTTTAAGAACAGCAAAGCCATGATTAGTAATATTGATATAGAAGCATCCTAAGGTAGTGTAAATTTAACTTTATTCCCCCTCCCTTTTATAACTTCAATACTGAAGATTTCTGCTTCTTCCTAATCAGTGTGCTCAGGTGACTGATGTGGCCCATGGGCCTCGTTATTTTGGTAGTAACTTTTGAATGAGAGAAGATAGGGCCCTCATACTTGTACATGTACATTATCTATGACAACACCTGTCAGAAAGATTTATCAATTTTTACTTCTTGACCTTGACCTAGAAGTTTGACATACTTATCAAAATTTTAAACTTTGATCATAACTTTTAATCCAGATGAGACTAGCATGCATGTAATATGTACCAGCGGTATAGAAAATGTCACATACGAGGGGTGATCAAAAAGTTCCAAAACTAATTGATATACTTCCGTAAAAGAAATAAACTCGATTTCAGTATTCATTTTTGTAAAAGTAGTCCTCTCCATACTCACACAAGAGGCTTATAGATGCTTATCTGTGCTTTTTTTTGCACAATTTAATACATGCATATATATTTTATGTAGATTATAAAATAACTATTGTGAGTTCTTCATTATCCAGGTAGAAGGGAGTATATAAATATAGAAGCATCCTCAGGTAGTGTAGATTTCAAGTTTATTCAGATCATGACCTCCTTGCCCTTGCTCTTTAAGGGGTAGTGTGAGGCTTATATATTTCTACTTTTCAATATACTAAACTCTGCTTTTCTCTAACTACAGTGCTCAGTAGAGTGATTTGGCCCATGGGTCTCTTAAATTGTTTAGCCTACTTTTAGGAGGATGTCAAAAAATGACAATTAAGTATGATGGGAGGACAGATGGACATAGATACACACACAATATACCCATTTTTAAAAAAAGACTTATTTAAAAATAATGCCATTTATATTTCTAGCAAGAAAGGCTCTACAGACTGTACACCATGTGAGGTTGGATTTTTTGCCAATAAGACAGGACTGTCAGTTTGTTATCCTTGTCCTCTGGGAACCTTCCAGAATAAAACTGGACAACCAGAGTGCAGCCTGTGTCCAGTAGGACAGTACCAAAGTCAAAAGGGACAAAGTGAGTGCAAAAATTGCTCAGAGGGAACGTTTCAGAATCACCAAGGACAGCCACAGTGTGAGGATTGTTCCCCAGGTTTCTACCAGAACCAAACTGGTCAGAGAACTTGTTGGAAGTGTCCTTCTGGGCAGTATCAGGAAGAGAAGGGGTGTAGCAGCTGTAATCCCTGTGATAGAAATACTTACTGCAGGTTTGTAACAGTAATGGAAAAATAAAACTCGATTGTGCATTTTATGTCTGTTGTGTTTTTGGTTAATTTGTACCAGTAAATATATTTGTAAACCATGAAACAAAAAGAAATGATATAAAATGAAAAGAATGAAATATGGAGATAATGAACAGTAAGAAAGAAGAGGAAAAGAAGTGGGTTTCTTTCTACGAAAAGCTGAAACAAAGTGAAAAGAAAACCGGAAGTAAAATATGTTTTCCAATAAACTCCAATTGCTATTACTAATTATAAGGCACAGTATTTCTGGATCAATTAGAGGCCTTTCCTTCTTTTCCCCACCTCTGTGAATAAGCACTATCAGTATTGTATATTTATGTCCTAGATCAAAGTTTGGGGCATATTATTTTTGCCCTGTCTGACCATCGGTCATCCTGTGTCTGTCATCAAACTTTAACCTTTCTAATAATTTTGAATCACAGAAAGATTAATTATATTCATGATACAATAATGAAATCTAGTAGTAATAAATCTTCTCAAGAACAGCAAGCCATGATTAGTCATATTCATATGGAAGCACCCTCAGGTAGTGTAGATTCCAGTTTTTTTAGGTAACTGAGTCTCTCAGGTTACCTATTGCTATCTTTTTTCATCTGTCATCATCCATTGGTTGTAAACTTTTTAAGATTTTCAGCTTCTTGTACCACTAAACCAATTTCAACCAATTTTGGCATATAGTATCTATGGGTGAAGGGGAGTAAAAATTGTGAATTTCATGGTCCCTGCCCCCCTGGAGCCTGAGGGTGGGGCTAAAACCACCAAAATTAATGCAATCTTTAAAATCTTTTTCTTTACTCCTGGACATCAAGCAGTCAAACTGTTGGCATGATTGTCATAAGCATTGAGCCCTCTACCAAAATTATGAGTTCATGGCTCCATTGTCAGGGGTTCTGGTGCTAGGGTGGGGCTATATAGATCATATGGTGAAAGTGCATTATTTCTTTGAAAATCTTCTTCTCTGCCCCTGGGTATTAAATAAACTAGCTTAGAACATAGTTATGATGAGCAAGAGTGCCTCTTGCAAAATTTTGAATTTCATGGTTCCAGGGTCAGGGGTTCTGGTGTTAGGGCGGGGCTCAACTGATTATATAGTGAAAACGCATTAATTGTTTAAAAATCTTGTTCTCTGCTCCTGGGTATTAAATAACTGCTTAAGTACATAGTTATAATGACCAAGAGTGCCTCTTCCAAAATTGTGAATTTAATGGCCCCAGGGTCAGTGGTTCTGGTGTTGAACGGGGCTCTATTGATTATATAGTGAAAATACATCAATTCTTTGAAAATCTTCTCTGCTACTGTGTATTAAATGAACTAACTAAGAACATAGTTATGATGAGCATGGCTGCCTTTTCAACAATTGTGAATTTCATAGCCCCTGGGTCAGGGGTTCTGGTGATAGGGCGGGGCTCTTGATTATATAGTAAAATTGCATTAATTCTTTGAAAATCTTATTCTCTGCTCCTGGGTATTAAATAAACTAACTTAGTGCATAGTTATGATGAGCATGGTTGCCTCCTCAGAATTTGTGAATTTCATGGCCCCTGGGTCAGGGGTTCTGGTGTTAGGGCTGGGCTCTATTAATTATATGGTGAAAATGCATTAATTTTCTGAAAATCTTCTTCTCTGCTCCTGGATATTAAATAAACTAACTAAGTACATAGTTATGATGGGCAAGAGTGCCTCTTCCAAAATTGTGAATTTCATGGCCCAAGGGTCAGTGGTTCTGGTGTTAGGGCAGGGCTCTATTGATTATATAGTAAAATTGCATAAATTCTTTGAAAATCTTCTTCTCTGCTTCTGGGTATGAAATAACTACTTAAGTACATAGTTATCATGACCAAGAGTGCCTCTTCCAAAATTGTGAATTTCATGGCCCCAGGGTCAGTGGTTCTGGTGTTGAACGGGGCTCTATTGATTATAAAGTGAAAATGCATCAATTCTTTGAAAATCTTCTTCTCTGCTCCTGGAAATTAAATAAACTAACTAAGTACATAGTTATGATGAGTAAGAGTGCCTCTTCCAAAATTGGGAATTTCATGGCCCAAGGGTCAGGGGTTCTGGTGTTAGGGTGGGCTCTATTGACTACCGTATAACGGGTATTTTCTGCGGTTGGAAATTTTTGTGCAATTTAACCCCTAAAAGGTTGTAAATTAATTTCTGCGCTTTCAATTTCTGCGGTTGCACTATACCGCAAAAATTTATTTACGGGGTATGATAATACACTAAACTGTATGAATTATCAGAACGCTGTCATGTTTACGTTTTATGAATTCGAATTCATTAAGACATACTGATCAAAGGTGCATGAAAACTGGTATTAAGCAAATATACTTAATTAAACTACTATCTTTTAGTTAGTTTTTGTAAAAATATTTCGAGTACCAACTGAAATGAATTAATGCAGTGTAAGTCCACCCAAACAACAATACAAATCCTTATTCTGACAAACGTTTTAAAATACTAGTATTTAAATATGTGTAGATAATGATAATAAATGCATCCAAGCCATATTCTAAAATACATTTCTAGTTAACTGCCATCAAAATTAATTAGGTGTTTATATTTTAAGCTAAAACAAACAGTTGCATAATGAAGTAACCCAAAGTTGACGGTTAACAATCACAGGTGTCATGTGCATTGAGGCGTAACTAATCCTGTCAGTCTATGCATAAGGTGGAATTCACGAGACAATCGAGCCACATTGTGTATACAAGCAGTAATTATTGTCTCAATATAAAACACATGTTTAAAACAGAAAAGCTACCATGTGTTGTTTTCAGCTATCGGAGTTTGGACTTATAATTGCAAAATAGGTAGTATTCTGCCACAATAAAAAGTCTCTCAGTTTCTTTAGAAAGTTTTATTTGACAGGTAGTTAACCCTCACTTGCATGTGCAAGTGCGCATGTGAACGTGCGTCTGGTAAAAAGCTACAATAAAACAAAACCAAAGTAAGTAATGACAGGTACTGCTTTCCATAGAAAAATTTCTCAAAACTGGATTCACATAATGTGAACAAATTACACAGACAAGTAATATCTCTAGTAAATCATAAACTAACTATACTCTGATCAACTGTATCAAATTCCATGTATAAAATATATTTTTAAGAGAAATACAGACTTAATTACTATCGACTATAAATAATGACAAGAATAGCACGCCATACTTTAAGCACATGGCACAAACATTATCTAAAATTATGCAGAATTGTAACAATTAGCAAAGCTGACATTAGAGATATAGGTGAGCGATAACATAATCTGAAGAATAAACAATGTGTTAAAACTTAAACTACTTACACCGTGGATTATGAACATTCAACCGGGAGTAAAAACTCGCCGTGACAGTATGGCGGCACAAACACCGAAAATTAACTTGTACTTAAACACATTCAATAAAAATTCGTATTGCACTCAGTCTAACTGACGTAATAGTACAACATAAATTCTAAAGACATGAAAATATTAAAAAATAGACAGAACACTCCCCGTCTGAAATCTCAAGATTTCACTATCAAAATTACAAACTATTAAGAGCATTACAAAAATCAATAATCTCTCGACAATAATCTCAGTCTGTCAACACATTCTCCGACTTATACGATTTCACTTTCAACGAGAAGTATCATGTCAACGACTGGTCTGATATACACTGTAGGCTTTCCATTCACAATGGTACGAATTTCAGATTTTCGCACATTATCATCAGAACTCTTGAAGGCTTTCACAACTAAGCCAATAGGCCAGCAGTTCTGTTCAACAGTCTTGTCTTTTATAAGAACTACATCTCCTTCGGCTATGTCACGTTGATTCTTGGTCCACTTCCTACGACTCTGAAGTAGCGGTAGATACTCCTTCTTCCAACGAGACCAGAATACACTAGCTAAAGCTTGAACACGTCTCCATTCAGCCTTGAACATGTCTCGACCACCAAATTCTCCTAGTGAATTGGCCTTGAACTCATACTCAGTCTTCTGTGTCAATAGCATTGCTGGGGTCAGAATCAATGGGGAATCTGGGTCAGTGGATATCGGAACAAGAGGTCTTGAATTAATGATTGCACAGACCTCCGCCATAAATGTGTTCAGCACATCATGCGTTAAGGTCTTTCCACTGGCATCAGTCAGCATTGAATTGAGGATCTTACGGGTAATACCGATCATTCTTTCCCATGCCCCACCCATGTGGGATGCATGGGGCGGATTGAAGATCCATACAGTACCAGAATTGTGTAGATACTTCTTCAAGGGTGCATCGTTGACATATATGGCATCAATGCGCAAGTCATCTACGGCCCCAACAAAGTTAGTGCCTTGGTCAGAACGGAAAGTCTTTACCTGACCCCTTATGGCAGTGAATCTTCTGACAGCATTGATAAATGCAGATGAACTCATTTCCTCAACTAGTTCAATATGAACAGCCCTTGTGGTTAAGCATGTGAACAATATTCCCCAGCGCTTGGAGTTGGCACTACCTCCTCGAGTCTTACGTGAAACTACAGCCCAAGGTCCGAATGCATCTACACCTACGTTTGTGAAAGGTGGCGATGGGTCAAGGCGGTCTGCAGGTAGATCAGCCATGATCTGATACTGCATCTTCCCTCTGAGTTTTCTGCACGTGATACATTTATGAATAATCGATGAGACAAGTCGTTTGGCCCCTGTTATCCAAAGTCCAGCAGCCCTAATAGCTCCTTCGGTGAAGTGACGCCCTTGGTGCTTGACATTCTCGTGATATTGTCGAACCAGTAGGGATGCTATGTGATGGCGTCTAGGTATAATCAATGGTTTCTTCTCTCGCAAGGTCAATTTTGAGTTGACTATCCGACCTCCTACACGGAGAAGTCCCTGATCATCTAAAAATGGATTAAGGTTGGCGATTGGGCTTCGTCGAGGTAGAGGCTCGTCTTGTCGTATACAGTCAATCTCGTCACAGTACACCTCAGACTGCACCATTCGGATCA